CTGCCAATCTAGACGTGCTTTTCCGAAAATGCTTTTAACGGAAAACTTTTCCGTTAAAAGCATTTTTGGAAATTCATGCCAGTGTAGATATAGTCTTAGTGTATACAGATGCCTATAACACCCCTAATTTCTTTTAATCCTGGAAACTCAGGCCAGTCAAAGGCTTGTTGCAATTCCAGTGGCTCTTATTTTGATTGGGAGGTGCAAGGATGCTTGTGTGGGAATCTCCATAACAAGTTATTTTCATTCCTCTGAAACCTTTACCTTAAAGTAAGTGTGTGTGTGTGAATGTGAATGTGAATATAATATTTTTAACTCTCCTGAGTATTTTCTCCTTTGAGAGGGCTTGGCAAACAATCTGACCTCTGGCTGCTTCAAAATGGCAGTAACTACTCTGATACTGAGCTTAAACAATTGCATATTTGCTGTTTCTTTTTTGTATCTTTTATATGACATTTCACTTTTTATTACCGAAATGTAGCATTTTCATTGTGACCCAGAGAAATAGCTGGTGGTTGAAACTATTTATGATTTATTTCCTTTTTCTAGATAGCAGTAAGAGCTTTACTGTTTTTCTTTTGTTTATCTTTTCTTTTGTTTTCCAATACTGTTATCTTTGTATCCTTGGATGAGTGCAGAAGGTAAGAAGTGTGTTGCTTCTTAGTTTATAGTTTAGCAACAGCTGCATAGCAACCAGTCCTTTTGCTGCTAGTCCTCCCTTGAACTTGCTATGTTGTCATCATGTTTTCCAAATTATGTTTAATGTAGTATGAGAAGTACAGTTAGTAGAACTGCTGGTACCCTAATATCTGGAGTGGTCAGTCTCTTTCAACATGAGACTACCTTGTATATTTATCCGATGGTCTATAATGTTTCCTATAATCTATGTTGAATCAGGAATGCATTGGGCACTGACCATGTTCATGCACTGTGAGAGCAGAGCCCCCTGGTCTAAATTATCATTGCTTCATGGAGATCTGACCATTTACACCAGCTGAGAATCTGCCTCATGAAATTTATTTACCATATTTTTCCTTTATCAGTCTTTTATCTGTGCAAAACATCAGTTCATGACTACTGTATTTTTAACTGGAAAAGTAGTGATTGCATAACTTGTCCTCACAATCTGTCCTGGTTCTTGCCCGTAAGTTATACTCATTTGAACCTTTTGTCACCCACACTTTTACAAGATAAACTAGGCTTATACTATTTGAAGTTACGCACATGCATATGTGCTTTGCTTAATAATCATGAACTTGTGTGTGCTTAAATTCTTTGGTGCATCAGGGATTTCCCAAACAGTAGCTGAAATAATCATTCTCTCTCATTGTGCTCTGGACCACTTCTGGCTTCTCCTGTCCATCTCTTGTGTGAATGTAAAAGCTGCTTATTAGAGGCTTTTAATGGGACCTAGAATGGATTTAAACAGTGAATCAGTGCTTTCCAGAGGTAGATGACGTGTGTGGGAGAGTTGATCAAAACAGGTTCGACCTCCCTGGTCTGGATTCCTGAGGACCTGATTGGTCCTTGATGAGGGATTTTTCCAGAGCAAGGGAGGTCAATTCAGACCCCCTCCTGCCAGAGAGACAGACAGACAGACACACACACTCACTTTCACTCAGTCACTCACTCTCCTCCTCCAACGGGCTTCATGGCTCCCCCCCACAGCCCAGCTGCGCCTCATGCCGCCTCTCACCCAACTCCCCTCAGCCTAGATGAGCCACATGCTGGCTCCTGTTCCCCACCTCCTAGCTCAACTGAGCTGCACACTGGCTCCCGGCCCCGACTCACAGAGCAACTGAGCCACACCCCAGCTCCCAGGCCTCTAACCCCCTATAGTGCCAGGACTTTTTGATCCTGGAACATCCATGCTCATGCCAGACCTCGGATGTTGCCAGATCAGAGAATCTCGGATTTTTAGAGGTGCAACCTGTAGTGAATTAGAACACTTCTCAGACTGATTCATACACAATAGGAAGAAGTCTAAGATGTACTTTTTTTCAATGTACTTCTGTTATTGGTGCTCAGTACACAATCATTGCAACTGGAACTACATTAACTTATATTTGGCCCCAAATTTAAATGTTATGTAAATAAGTTTTTTATAAAGCTGCAGTTCAATAGAAATATTTCAAAAATTAAAATGTCAAGGAGAAACAGTTTTTAAATGCAACTAAAAATTCCTTTACAGCATTTGAAATCCCAGTATTTTATTACTAAAACGTTGAAGGAAAACTGCCTGCATTGATTTTTATTGTTTAAGCAGAGAAGCAAGTAATTGGGATTTTTAAAAAATTATCTTTTAATAATCTAAAGTAAGTCCACTTACTATACATGACTTTTAAGTTAGCAGTGACATTCAAGGCACCTTTCACAAACCCCTGATAAATCAGACCTATGGAATGTAGTCTACAAATGTAGTTTAAAGTATGTTATTGCTAAAATAATTGAAATATTTGAGCTAAACTTATTAATACACTATAGGCATTTTAAAACTTGTGCTATAATGTTTTAAGCTTCATTAGGTTGTTTACAGGGATCCTTAACATCTAACCATGTAAAGCAGTGGTTTTCGAAGTGTGATCCATGGACCACTACTGCAGGTGGGCCATGAGCTCGGGGCTCCTTCTCCCCCTCATGAGATTGGAACACCAGTGCCAACTTCCTGCTGCAGAGTGGGGGGGATGAGCCTCGCTGGTCAGATCCAGCTTTCGGGATGAGGAAGTGGCTCCATGTGCTGCTGTTTTCCCTTCCCCTAGCTGTGGGAATGGCAGTGCAGTAAGTCACTCGTCTGGAGGATTTTGCTGCTCCCATTGGCCAGAATCATAGCCAATGGGGTGTGGTGCTGGGACAGGTGAGAGGCATGGAGCCAGGTAAAAGTGCCACTTCTCCTCATGCCCAGAGCCTGTACCCTATCCTCCTTTTGTCATCAAGGGTCATTGGCTTATGGTCCATGGAAAGGTCTGCATTGAATGGGGTGTGGATCACAGGCCAAAAAGTTTGAGAACCACTGATGTAGAGTCATTCATAGTCGTCTTGCAAGTGGAATGGACTTTATGCTACTGATTTACCCTATATCATGAAAAGGGAGAATCAGCAAGAAACAAGGTCACAGCTGGAAGGAAACTCAAGCAAAATCACTGTTTCTCAGAGGACACTGATAATGCTTATTGTTTATATTCACTAGATAAAAAGGAAAGCAGTGAGGATGTAGATGTAAAAGCCCTGGGGGAAAATGTGCTTGCTCAGTTAAATTTATATCCAGCTTTTCCTTTCCTTCTGCACTTCATAAATTCTCAGACATATGCTGAAATAGTGATAAGACTGAATGTAAAACCAGGCACTTATTAAGTTAAGGCTGCCACAAAATGATGAACTTGCCCCATCTTTTGAAATTATGCAGCATATATAGTAAGAGACTGCCCCAGTTCTGAGACTCCTTAATTGAAGACTTCTTGTACCTTAGTATTTATGTCAAAAGGTAGCATGAATTAATTACATTATGGAATATCTACTGATATCATCACTGTTTAAAAACATTCTAAATATTAACATAATTTTAAACAAAATTTTCTTTAGATTTTTGTTCCCATGCTGAAGTGAATTGTGGTACTGTATCTAATTGTGGTATTTAGTCCTGTTAACACTGGACTAAATTATGTCTTGCCACAAGCCCTGAATGAAGGGAAACATGTAGCTGAACTACTTTAAGAACAGACCATCAACTAGTCTGTGATTGAGAGTCACAATCTGATCTCCAATTTCCTCTTTATCCAGCAAGAAAGAGTAGTCTGCACCAGCCCTAAACTTTGCTATTGTTATTATTTATTTGAATTATTGCCAGCATAGCTATTGTGGCTGGCACATTGAGTGTGGAGCCAAAGCTTCCACTAAATTGCTTGTTTACTCAGCCTACTTGAGCAAGAGAAGTTGGCCTGATAAAGGCTGCTTTTTCCCCTGTTTGACTTCTTGTGATGTGGGTAGTGAATGCAAGGAGTGCTTTCTTGCTGTCCTATACAAGTTAATAGTAAAAGTTACAATGTAGTCCAAATCTTGTAAATAATAGGTGCACACATTCAATTTCACCCTCTGAATAAATATTTATATGGTCTAGAACAAGTTTAAATATCTTTTAAAATAAAAGCTTAATTATTGTACACAAATGTGTTAGGAAGAGATCATTTCCTGACTTATGCATTCAAATTCTGTGTCTTGTTTTAACATAGCTTTCCTCATCACCAAGTCCACTAAATTGCTACACTGTAGAAAGCTAAATGCTAGTATGCTTTCTACTGAATAGACATTTACTTTCATGTGACTAATGCAAATGAAGTCTAAGTTAAGGATGAAACAGAAGCATGAACTATTTAAGACCATCCTACTGCATAGTAATATAGATGGTATGTTTCTTTATTGTTTTATCATATTTTATTGAAGATTACTATCCTAATACACAAAGCATATCACAAAGTAATTTAGACTGCTGAAAGCCAAAGAAACTGGCATCAACTCCCAAATCATAAAAAAAATGATGGAATGATTTAGTGTTCTAGTCATCAACATATCCCAGTTGCACAAATGTGATTTTCCAACAGTAGAAAGTGTAACAGACTAATGTCCTAAAATTTATTTGCCTTTCATTTAAAAAAATATCTGCCAACTAATACAATTTAAAAAATATATTTGGGGCACTTTAAATTTTTGAGGTATGTGATCTCTCTCCAACTATATTTAGAAAAAACGTTTATTAAGATTACGCCAATGACATAGTTATTCTGATTATTTTTATAAATGTGTATAATTTGCTTTGATTTGCAATTATAGTGAGACATGTAAATAACATATACAGTCCTATGTAGAATTTGCATTTTTGATTATAGAAGTTTTGCCTACCTCAGGGCTATAGGATTGAATTAATTAAAAAAAGGCCTATAAAAACAAAATGTAGAGTTTGGAGCAGTTGATCTTTTGTCATTAAATCAATGTTACATCTCTTATAGGGGAGAAAAATATGAAATACAAGGAGCTGAAGAAGAGGGAGGAAAGCATGGACAGTAAGTTGTCTAATAGGGATTAGATTGATAGACTGCCAAAGCACAAGGCTTTTGGGATTGTCAAAGCACACTGTATTTAACCAAAAACTATTGACTCCTGACCACTTGTCTTACGAGTCTGTGACCTACTTCAGAGATGCCGCAGCACATGGTTACTGATGCTTTCCCACCTTTCCTGACTCATCGTCTGGCATTAAAATTTCAGGAACACGTTTTTGAGACAAAAGCTGGAATAAAAATATTTTTTTAAATGTATTAAAGTGAAAGTTAAATAAAATGTTAGAGTGCACCCATAAGTGTTTGGAATAAGCAAAATTATAAAGTTGCTCTGAGAATCAGAATCTTTGACTTTAGGACATTTCTGTTTATTTATCTAAGATGAATACTACAAAATATTTCTGGCTTACAAATGAAGTCTCATGACAGAGAAGCTTCAGCAGAGGCTAAGTGAGGATGTAAAACGTTTGGGATAAAAACATATTTTAAACAGTATTCTATTGTTAGAATGTTTATAGAGCATTCTAAATATGTACAGCTCTTTACAAAACCCAAACCAAGCACTGCCAAGAGCTTACCAACAGTTTTAGACATGTGCTATATCGTTTGGATGAAAGAAGAAACTATTGGTGAAATCAGCAACTTTGCTGAAAGAAAAACAATATTTAAGGAAGGTTTAGAAGGAGAACAGGATGGGTACACACAGTAAACGAAGAGTATTCTATAGCACGTTAGATTTTTTTAAAAACTTTTAGGAGAAAGCACTGTCTATTTGACAAAGTTGTGGAGTTGTGAATTACTGTTTAGTTTGAGGTGATAATTCTCTATTAAATCCCCAAAATATTGTAAAATATTTTACATGTTTTATACAGACAATATTTTAAATATTGTACATATTTATACAATATTTTACATACATTTTATATATCCATACATACATGGATATCCATTGATAGCTCAGATTTATTTCCTTTATAGAATTAGTACTGAAAAGGTATACTGTATATGTCTTTGTGTTGTAATGCTCTCTGGTAACCCATTTAAAATGTAGGGATAAATTAGAGCTAAATAACAGCACAGAACACTGAGAGCCAGGACTGGCAGCTGTAAACAAACCTTACGGGACCATAGGACACTCAGTGTCACCCATGATAAGTGGATATCCAACTAACTAAAATCATGCTGGACCAGAGAGTGCTAGACTGAAGAGGTTCAACCTGTAGTTAAAATATTAACAAAACCCAGTTTGCTGTTGAAACATTAACAACAAAAGAAGACAACGGGTAGTGGTAGACAGAGATTCCCTCCTAAAAGGGACTGAGTCATCCATCTGCTGTCCAGACCTGGAATCTCGAGAAGTGTGCTGCTTACCAGGAACTTGCATTCAGGATGTGACCGAGACTCTTCCAAAAATTATCAAACCTTCGGATCGCTACCCCTTCCTGCTTCTCCATGTGGGAACTAACGATACAGCCAAGAATGACCTTGAGTGGATCACTGCAGATTATGTAGTGCAGGGAAGAAGGATCAAGGAATTTGAAGCACAAGTGGTGTTCTCATCCATCCACCCTGTTGAAGGAAAAGGTCCAGGTAGGGGTTGTCAAATTGAGGAAGTAAATGCGTGGTTGCACAGGTGGTGTTGGACAGAGGGCTTTGGATTCTTTCACCATGGGACTCTGCTCCAGGAACAAGGATTGTTAGGAAGAGAGGGGATCCACCTAACCAAGAGAGGAAAGAGCATCTTCACAGGCAGGCTTGCAAACCTGATGAGGGTTTTACACTAGGTTCTTTGGGGGATGGTGACCAAAACTCTTAGATAAGTGGGGAAGTCGGATACAGGGAAGAAACACAAGGAGGAATGAGCAACAAAGGAGGACCCCTGATTCGAATGAAGAAGGTAGGGCAATCAACTGGTTATCTAAGGTGTTTGTACACAAATGCAAGAAGCCTCAGAAACAAACAGGAAGAATTAGAAGCCCTGGCCCAGTCTAAGAACTAAGATTTGATTGGAATAATGGAGACTTGGTGGGATGACTCGCATGACTGGAGCACTGTCATGAAAGGGTATAAACTGTTCAGGAAGAACAGGCGGGGGAGAAAAGGGGGAGCAGTTGCATTGTATGTAAGAGAGCTGTATGATTGCTCAGAGCTCCATTATATAGAGGGAGAAAAGTCTGTTGAGAGTCTATGGGTTAAGTTTAGAGGCCGAAGCAAAAGGGGTGATGTTGTGGTTGGCTTCTGTTATAGACCACCAACCAGATCAGGTGGATGAGGTAGACAAGGCTTTCTTCAGACAACTAAGAGTAGCTTCCAGATCACAGGCCCTGGTTCTCACATCTGTTGGGAGACCAATACAGCAGTACACAGACAATCCAGGAAGTTTTTGGAGCATGTTGGGGATAACTTCCTGGTACAAGTTCTGAAGGATCCGACCAGGGGCCATGCGCAGCTTGACCTGCTGCTCACAAACAGGGAGGAACTAATAGGAGAAGTAGATGTGGGTGGCAATCTGGGAAGCAGTGATCATGAGATGGTAGACTTCAGGATCCTGACCAAAGGAAGAAAGGAGTGTAGCAAAATACGCACCCTGGACTTCAGAAAGCAGACTTTGACTCCCTCAGAGAATTGATGGGCATGATTCCCTCGGATGCTTACATGAAGGGGAAAGGAGTCCGGGAGAGCTGGCATTATTTTAAAGAAGCCTTATTGAAGGCATAGGAAGAAACCATCCCGATGCTCAGCAAGAAAAGCAAATACGGTAGGCCACCAGATTGGCTTACCTGGGTAATCCTTGGTGAGCTTAAACGAAAAAAGGAAGCTTACAAAAAGTGGAAGCTTGGACAGATGACTAGGGAGGAGTATAAATATATTGCTCGAGAATGCAGAGGAGTTATCAGGAAGGCGAAAGTGCAATGGGAATTGCAGCTAGAAAGGGATGTGAAGGATAATAGGAAAGGTTTCTACAGGCATGTTAGCAATAAAAGGGTGATCAGAGAGGATGTGGGGCCCTTACTGTATGAGGGAGGTAACTTAGTGACAAATGATGTGGGAAAAGCTGAAGTATGTAATGCTTTCTTTGCCTCTGTCTTCACAGACAAGGTCATCTCCCAGACAAATGCACTAGGCAATGCAGTATAGGAAGAAGGTGGACAGCCTTTGGTGGGGAAAGAACAGGTTAGGAACTATTTAGAAAAACTAAACATACACAAAACCATGGGTCTGAATTGAATGCATCTGAAGGTTCTGAAGGAGTTGGCAAATGTCATTGCTGACCCTTTGGACATTATCTTGGAAAACTTGTCGAGATCAGAAGAGATCCTGGATGATTGGAAAAAGGCAAATGTAGTGCCCATCTTTAAAGAAAGGGAAGAAGGACAATCCAAGGAACTACAGACCAGTCAACCTTTTCTCAGCCCCTGGAAAAATCATGGAAGGGATCCTCAAAGAATACATTTTAAAGCTCTTGGAAGAAGGGAAAGTGATCAGGAATAGTAAACATGGATTCACAAAGGGCAAGTCGTGCCTGACCAATCTGATTAGTTTCTACAATGAGGTAGCTGGCTCTGTGGACATGGGGAAGTCAGTGGATGTGATATACTTTGACTTTATCAAAGCTTTTGATATTATCTCCCACAATATTCTTGCCATTAAGTTAAGGGAGTATGGGTTGGATAAATGGACTGTAAAATGGATAGAAAGCTGGCTAGAATGTCGGGCCCAGTGGTTTGTGATCAACGGCTCAATGTCAGGTTGGCAATCAGTTTCTAGCAGAGTGCCCCAAGGATCTGTTCTAGGACCGGTTTTGTTCAACATCTTTATTAATGATCTGGATGAGGGGATGGATTGCACCCTCAGCAAGTTTACTGAAGACACTAAGCTAAGGGAAGAGGTACGCTGGAGGGTAGGTATAGGGTCCAGTGTGACCTAGACAGATTAGAGGATTGGGCCAAAAGAAATCTGATGAGGTTCAACAAGGACAAGTGCAGAGATCTGCACTTGGGATGGAAGAATCCCAAGCATTGTTACAAGCTGGGGACTGACTGGCTAAGTAGCAGTTCTGCAGAAAAGGACATGGGGATTACAGTGGATGAGAAGCTGGATATGAGTCAACAGTGTGCTCTTATAGCCAAGAAGGCTAATGGCATATTAGGTTGCATTAGGATGAGCATTGCCAGCAGATCTAGAGAAGTGATTATTCCCCTTTATTTGTCTCTCGTGAGGCCACATCTGGAGTATTATGTCCAGTTCTGGGCCCCCCACTATAGAAAGGATGTGGACGCATTTACTGTGTCTAGTTCTGGGCCCCCACTACAGAAAGGATGTGGGAGCATTGGAGAGGGGCCAGCGGAGGGTGACTAAAATGATTCGGGGGCTGGAGCACATGACCTATGAGGAGAGGCTGAGGGATTTGGGCTTTAGTCTGCAGAAGAGCAGAGCGAGGGGGGATCTGAGAGCAGCCCTCAGCTCCCTGAAGGGGGGTTGCAATGAGGATGGAGAGAGGCTGTTCACGGTATTAGCCACTCAAAAGAGCTGCGCGGTTGGATATTAGGAAAAACTATTTCACTAGGAGGGTGGTGAAGCACTGGAATGGGTTACCTAGGGAAGTGGTGGAATCTCCATCCCTAGAGGTTTTTAAGTCTTGGCTTGACAAAGCCCTGGGTGGGTTGATTTCGTTGGTATTGGTCCTGCCTTGGGCAGGGGGCTGGACTTGATGACCTCGTGAGGTCTCTTCCAGCTCCATTATTCTATGTTTCTATGATTTAATATGATTCAGGGTTTCTGTCAAGTTATCTCTGGCAATTTTCATTGTCACACCCACCATTAAAAATCAGTTAAATCTTTAAAGGCACAGAAAAAGGAAAAAGTAATCCAAGCATTTGAAATGTCAAGTATTAAGTAATAATTCACTTTATATCCTTTTTCATAATTTTACAGTTTGAAGATATTTTTATTGGGGAAACCCTGTTTAGCAGTCTTATTGATGGTATAAAATACAATACTGTCATTTTGGGGGGAACGAGGAAAGGTTAGTTTAAATAGTTTAAATTGTGGTTAAACTCTGATCCTATTTTACTTATTTCCTCATGCAAAGGAAAAACAAAGGATTTCTGTTTCTGGTTTTCACTTTGACCTGCAGCCTTGCTTTGGTGTTTTTGTGGCCTGCCCAACTAGACTCTTACTAGAAAGTAGGCAAAAGGAGAAAGGTAGGGAAGAATAGAAATGACACTAGAGGGATTGGGTGAAAACAGGAACCCGTGTCTTATATTGCAAGGAGTATTCAGAATTTAGCCAAAGCCAGTGGAAGTGGCTTTATCAAAGTAGATTTCAGGGTTTCAGAAGATGGTGAAGGTGTGCTTGCTTCTTTCAAGCCATCCATTCCCCTCCTCCCATTGAATAAACCCCAGGTAAATAATGTCCAAGAAGGGGTGGCCATTATCATTAACCAGTCGAGACAATTTCAGTGGTTTTAAATATTAAATATTTCTCTTTTATACAATTTTTCAGCTTATTGTCTTATCAGTGACTTTACAAGGAATCTCAAAGACCCTTTATCACAGATTGTTGGTATACACTCAATTATTTGTCTCCAACTTTTGCTGACATCTGTAAAGAGTTATATAACTTGCTGAGCTGGACTTCTATACCTTGCACAGTTTAGATGTTAGGCTTCCACATAGTACATCTTGAAACAGCACCCCTTGGGAATTGTAACTTGAATGGCGTTAGGAGGAAAAAGAGAATGTCAGTGCCCCTGTCCCTATCCCTACTTGACAAGCTGTAAGCCTATTTTAACTCTTCTTTGTAAACTCCCTTGTTGGGAGAACAATGGGAGGTCAGGGAAGCATTTATTGGCATTCTTTCGGAATTATTGCATAACAGAGTGTGGCGTTATCATTTGTTAATGATGTGTTTTATCGTATAGCTATATTATTCTATTTTTGTTATATGTTAGCATGGTCTTATAGAAGAAGTGAGTTTACAAAAAGTATTTGTAGATGTATGTCCCTACACCTAGAATGCCTATGGAGGGCGCTGTAGATGGTGAAGCAGTATGGACATAAGCCCAGAGATTACAGTGGGAAAAGAATGGTGAGACAGGCTTCATGCAATGGCCTTAGGAAAATTAAAAAAACTGAGATGTAAGTGGGGACAGTGGTGAGAACAAAAAATTAAATTTGATGGGAAAGGCATAGGAGAGGCACAGAGGGGCTTGATATGAGGGGGTACAACATGGTCTGAGCAGTAGGCAAAGGAGAATTTTGCTGCTGCATTCTGAAATGGTTGTAGGGAAGTTAAATGGCAATTGAGGAAATGAGAGTACTAAAAGCCTTTCCTCTTTGCATCTCTCTTTCCTTAAAGTTTTTCCAGTGAACTTTCATTGCACTGTATAAGTACTAGACTTGTAATATGTTTAAGAGCAGGTTAGATAGACGTCTATCAGGAATGATCTAGATGGTGCTTGGTTCTGCCATGAGGGAAGGGGACTGGACTTGATGGCCTCTCGAGGTCCCTTTTTGTTCTTTTGTACAATGATTCTGATTCTGTGTTGAATATAAAGCTAATGTGTTTGATTTGCAGATATAGTTTTAGATGGATTGATACACTTAATGGAAATTCTCTATAGCGGTGGGGAGGGGTCCCTTTTTCAGTTAGGAGCCCCAGAACCAAAGAAAAATCAGTCGGGGCCACAACAAGCAAAATAAAACCCTCACTGATTTGGCTTTCAAGAAGCACAGGGTTCTGACCCCTGGGGGAGGGTTTTTGGCCCATGGACTGCAGATTCTCTGTCCCTGCTCTAAAGTATAAAAAATGCCAAAAACTTCATTCTAAAAAACTGATCTGATTCACTGTTAGCCAGAAGCATGCATCTTGAGTGAATAATTTTTTAAGTATAAAAAATGCCAAAAACTTCATTCTAAAAAACTGAAAGTGGAAAACTGGAAAAAAAAAATCTCTTCCATTTAATGTAGCGAATAAATGTCTTAAACAAGCAAGCTGTGATTGATTTTATTTAAAAATGTGATTATTTCTCTCTTGTTTCCATCTTTAAAATTTTAACAAAATGTTAAATAGTAAAATACAGATTCAAAAAATAAAACTGCAAAGTTTTTTTAGACTCCAGAATTTAAATTGTATTTAAATTAAAGTATGTATATTTAAATCTTATTTTTATAATATACAATTCTGAAAAACTACATTGAAGTACGTGCATATTTGCTGTTAAATTCAGAGTGTAATTATAATGAACAACTCACAACATTAATGTAAATAGCAGCCTCCCTTATCTTGTTTTTTGATCCATAGACTTTCTTGAGACTTTTGAAGAGATGAAGACACAGGAACTGGAACGGAAGGCACAGATAGAGGCCAACATTGTTGCACTGTTAGAGCATTCAAGTAGGGTAAGTGCCTTTCTCGGTTGCTGATAAATTAGTCCATCATAACCTCATAAAAGACATTAAGTAAAATTAAATAGAACTGTTTTGATTAAATACTAGTCAGCCCTGTTATGGGTGTAATTAACTTCCAGATAATATACTGATACCAGAGTAGAATCTATATAATTACTATTGTATTCTCTGTCACTATTTTGAAGGAAATTTTACAATGAATAAATCAGAAAATATTTGTTACCAGAACAAAAGAACTATTATTTTTGACCAGAGCTATGAAACACACAATAAATACTAAATTAAAATAATACTAAAACTAAGAAATTTCATTGTTTGCTAGTTTATCTAAACCAACTCTGAAAATCATAAATAAAGGCGGGATTCAATCATTTTCCTTATTTTCCATATTCCAATTTTGTAATTCTGGGGAAATTTCTTCTACCAAATTTTTGCAATGTTTCTCTCCATGTGGATTCTACATTCTATGTTCCTATGTTCCTGGAGTCCTGATAGAAGTTTCCCATTATCAATATCATAATTTTTTTGCCAATTCTCACCAAAACAACTCTTCCTTTTCTTTGATTTTGTTTGCCTTGTACTGTCTGTAAAGGATTGCTATAGTCATCTTTTAGCAAAGTATTTTTCTTCTTTGAGTGATTGTTCATGTTGATTACAATTCAGGTATATATGCGCCATGCGTACAAACATCGGAAACTTTTCCCCTAGCAGCACCTGTAGGGTTGGCTGTGGAGACTCCTATAGTTGTGTCGCGATATCAGTGCATATATACCACTGCTGATCCTACCCTTCCTCAGTTCCTTCTTAGCATCCATGGTGACGTTGAAACTGTAATTAGCTTTTGCTTAGAAAGTGCCTAGTCCCTAGTAGTAGCTCTTGTTTTCGCTAGTCTTCAATTTTGTTTCTCATGATCAGGGGCAACCCGTCAGTTTAGGTGAACTAGGCAGTTGCCTAGAGTGCCGCCGGACCGGGCGCCCAATGTTGACGTCACGGCCATTGATGGCCGTGCTGTGGGGGGGGGCCAATTGCGCTGCCCGCCTGGGGCACCAGCTGCTGCAGCTGGCCTCGGGCTGCTCCTGCTCATGATAAAGATCTTCAAGCAAATAAAAGGACAGTGGGCCAGTGCCCAAGTGTTTTAGCCCCCTGGAGCGCCAGGGCATGCCTGACACCCCAGACTTTAAAGCGTGCACAGCTTGCAAATACCATATGCCCAACAGTGACCCACATGATATGTGCCTTCGCTGCCTGGGTGAAGAACATCACACTGAAAAGTGCAAGATCTGTCAAAGTTTTATGCCCCACACCAGAAAAGGCAGGGAGCACAGGCTTCAACAGCTCCTGATGGAGGCGGGATTAAAACCCCCTCAGACTGAAAAATCAGTCCCGGGAGTCAGTTTGGTGTGCAGCGCCCCAGCCTCCGTGAGACAGTTCAGAAGCCGGGCACAGCAAAAGACTCTAGGCGCTGGGGTTCCCTGGCACCATAGATGACTGTGCCGAGACATAAATCTACCTCGCCAGCACTGCGGGGCAAGAGAGAGGACAGAGATAGGTGCCTCCATAGGCCCCAGACAAAGACAGGACCCTGTCTGGAGGAAATCCCCGGTGCGGGAGATGCAGAACATGCCATCGACTCCGGCCCCAGACCGGTGCCGTTGAGTCCGGCATATGACCATCAACCGAGGGACATGAGCCTGGGGCAGGTCTTAAATTCCCTTTCAATGCCGGGCACCTTTTCAGCAGCGAGAGACCTGATACAAATCTCAGAGGCCAAGGTAAACCACTAGCACCACCGGGACCACACCTCTCAAGGGGAAAGCCAGCTATGCTCCCTCAACCACAATCCACAGCGTGATATTGGGATGGGTCTTCCTCCTTGGAGGGTCTTCCATTGCCCGCACAACGTTCCTTGTTACCAGCACAGCAAGAAAGTCCAGCTTCCCAAGGGATGGAGCTGGCACCCATTGGAACACTGGAAAGATAAGAATGGCCCTGAAGGTTGGGGGGCTCCTCCAGTGGCACAGTGGTTAAGTTACATGCCTCCGGAACCAGAGGTTGAGGGCTCGAGCACTGAGAGTCCAGGACTGAGGGATCGGATTTGACACAGAGATCAGTCTCTAGGTTGAGGTCATGAGCTAGAAGTCCAAGGCACTGCTTCCTTTCCAGGCCTCCTGGGCACCAGTCGGGGACCTGGACATCATCCCAACACTCAGCTCTGGCACCGGCATCATTGGCACCATCGTGGTCATCTCAGTTGGAATTGGAATCGAATGTGGTGTCAGGCAGGCCTCAGCGCAGGCAGTCTCAACACAGTACAAGAGACCAGCCAGTGTAGTACGACAGCATTGGCCACTGCCAGTGCAATGGCCCTTCTGGATCCCCTTGGCCTTGCATCAGTCTCAGAGAGCCCCTCGGTCGTTGGTGTCCATGAGTCATACATCTCAATCCACTCATGACAGGTACCACTCCAGGACACTGTCCAGGGCGGAGTTCAGTCCCCCTAGAGTGCACAGCCCACCTCCTGGAGCTAGGGAACAACCTCCAGAGAAAGGCCTTAGGGTGGACCCCAAGGACAGAGCCCAGTTACCAGTGGAGGACACTACTCAGGCCCAGGCCTATTCCTCATCCTTCCCGGACGAAGCAGTGGCAGGCACCTCCATGCTGGGGCCCCCACCAATGGACCACAGGGCATTGTAGTGGGGCAGAATGGCCGCCCACTGACCCAGAGGCAGGGGAATCCCTCCGGCAGCTATTTTAGGCACAACCTACCCCTCCCAGTCACCTGACCAGAAGCTAGGAGGCATGGTCAGGGCTATAAAAGCCCAGCCTGGGAGCTCAGTGTGGGCCCAGCCTCCAGAGGAACCAGAGGCCTGCTCAGAGCTCCCTGCCTAGGAGGAGGCCAAGGCCTGGCCCGGACCTCCAACCGCGGCTGACCCGAAGGACCTGTGTGAGTGCCTGCCACCGGCCTGTACCCAGCAACCATTTGGGGCCACCGGACCTGCAAGGACCCAAGGACTGGCCTGGACCGCCAGCCAGGCCTGACCCCAAGGACCAGCCTGACCCAGAGGATCAGCCGGAACGCCTCCTCCAGTTGTTACCAGAGCACCGACTGAGACCGCTAGACCTGCCAGCGGCTGAGGACTGGCCTGGACCGTCTAAACCCCAGCTTGACACAACCACCCTTGACTCCCCAAGTGACCTGCCAGACATCCAGGTACCTGCTGAGGGGGAGGAGGGAAGCGGCCCAGGTTGTTCCCAGCACTCCTTGCTTGGCTACCCCACGGTGATGCGATTCAGGAAGGGGTTGGACAGGTTGTACCTGTATTGTCATCCACCTGTACCTGCTTGGGACTTAAATCTGGTGCTCAATAAACTTTTGGGTCTGCCTTTTGAACCGATGGCCCAGTGTTCTTTCCTATATGTGTCTTAGGGATGTGAGCTTATCAGATAGTCGACACACTAGTCGATTAGTTGCTCCACCCCTTTGCTGCCTCTATCACAAAGCGGCAGCAAGGGAGGGGAAGTGGTGGGGGTGTTGGAGTGAGCCAGATTAAAAGCCAGTTCCCTACAGGGACTCTTGTACATTTCAAAATTGAAATGTCACATGGAGCCCGGGGCCAGCAGGGAGTCCCGCTGACCCTGGGCTCCATGCGGGTGCTTTCCCTTTGAAATGCATAAGAGCCTCTGCTGGGGCTCTTGTACATTTCAGAGGTGGAACACAGAAGTTCTTATTTACTAATCGAATAGTCGATGGAAATCCCATTGACTGTTCGATTAGTTAATTAATTGAAATTTAATATCCCTAATCCGTCTATGAGTAGCTATCACATTAGCAAGACGAGTGTCTGAGTCAGGGGACCTATCCTCAGATCCGCCGTACATAATCTTCCACAAGAACAAAGTACAGCTTAGACTACACCCTGCTTTCCTGACAAAAGTGATCCAATTTCCACTTGTTGCAAGAGGTCTTCCTTCCGGTTTTTTATCCTAAGCCTCATATTAGTGATAGGCAGAGGGTATTGCATACACTAGACATAAGGAGGGCCTTAGCTTTCTACATAGATTGCACTAGGCCCTTTAGAAAATCCACACAGCTGTTTGTGGCTATAGCAGAACTGATGAGGGGAGATCCAGTCTCCATGCAGTGCATCTCTTCCTGCATAGTGCGATGCATATGCACCTGCTATGACCTAGCTGGTGTCCCTCCCCTGCCAGTTACAGGCCAGTCAACCAGGGCCTAGGCTTTTCCTGCAGCCTTTGGGCACAGGTCCACTTACAAGAAATCTGTAGGGCAGCTACTTGATCTTCGATTCACACATTCATGGCCCGTTATGTTATTGATAAATCCTCCAGGGAGGACTCAGCAGTTGGCAGGGCAGTCCTGCAATCTGTGATTCCGAACTTCAATCCCACCTCAATGGGGTAGCAGCTTGGGAGTCACCTGAATTGGAATTGACATGAACAATCACTCTAAGAAGAAAAGACAGTTTCCTGTTCTCGTAACTAGTGTTCTTCGAAATGTGTTGTCCATTCCAATACCCATCCTCCTTCCCCTCTGTCAGAGTAGCTGGCAAGAATGAACCGAGGGTGGGTACGGTCAGCAGTGGTATATATGTCTTGATATAGCAGCACCACTCTAGGGTTCTCCACAGGCTGACCCTACGGGAGCTACTAGGGGAAATGTTTCCTACGTTCATGCACACGGCATGTGTACACCTGAATTGGAATGGATATGAACAACACCAGTAATGGTCTGTTTTGAATAAACAGTGTTTTAACAGCTCCTTGATACTCTTCTTCAATGTGATGCCACATGTCTTCAAATTATTTAACTCAAAAGGTTGCTTAAGAGTTGATGTGTTGCAAGGCCCGTGACACAGAGGTATGAAATTTTCCTCAAAGTTAACGACCTACTTGAATCACGGAATGATCTTCAAATAATTGTGTCTGGAAAATCATGGAAGTAATCACTGACCTTTATTAATAGCCATAATTTGGAAAAGCCAGAATACTGCTACTTGTTTAATAAATATTTGCTGGAACAGTATTATGTTATGCCTGCCAATTTTTTGGTAACCAGACATTTTGCTGGAACTATATTACATTCCCTTAAAAACGTGACTGATTACAATATAAAATTCAGAAGAATAAAAGTCTTAACACAACTGCTAAAGAAATCAAGTCACTTTAGCCTTTTACATTTTACAGGAATTTAATGTTAGAGCATAACTAATTGCACATTCAAAATATATGTAAAATATGGACTGTAAGTGAATTCAAATCAAAATTGTGAGGGAAGCCTAATTTGCATGATCCACAATTTTCTCAATATTGTAAGTGAAGAAGGGCCTTACTTCTAGTATAATGACTCTTCCACAAGTGATGTATAATGACTCTTCCACAAGTGATGTATCTAAGCCAATGACATAGGTATCCCTGTTTTATCCTCAATTGTTTTTTCAGTACATCAGTTATAAAAGGGGGACAGTCCAGGTTGGCAGAACTGAAATGGAACATCATTCTATTTAAATGCTCTAAAACTATTTAAAAATATTTTACCCAAGAGAATGTTAAGAGTTTGTCATAAATGATGTATTAACAGCTTTTTTCTTCAAAGATATAAAATGTTCTGATTTCCTGTTCCCATTTCCGTAAATGTACAGAATGTCAATCGTATGAAACAGATCTCCTCTGTCACAAATCAAGAGCTGAAGATTATGCAGGAAGACCTCACTTTCAAATCAAATGAAATGCAAAAGTCACAGAGCACTGCTAAAAATTTAAGTACAGGTGAGGCAAATAATGTATAAATATGCAAATTCCTTCCTTTTTAAAAATGAAATAAGAGTCATAGACTTAGGGATGTAAAAAGTCATTTAAAAATGTAACCATGTAACCACTAAAAATCCTAGCAGTCATATGTGCTGTGGGGCTCTGCAGTATAAAGCTTATATATAAAGCTTTATGTTGCAGAGCTCACAGCAAAGCCTCCCACTCCTGGGTAGCCTGTGGTGGTCCTGCCATGGTTAGGGGCTGCTCCAGATGGCCGGACTGGCTCCTGCTTGCGTTAGGTCCCACAGGGCTGGATGGGGGTGGGTGAGTAGCTGTTTCAGCACCTACCAGTTAACTGGGACCAGTAAGCCTCACCCTTAAGGATGAGGCTTCCATCCCTACATAGACTGCATTATAGAGTACAGGGTTAGTGGTCTTACATACAGTGTTGTTGGTCTTGGTTTTTATATATAGCTTTATATAACTGCTATAAGTGCTAGCACAAATAGTTTGTAATTCATCATAGGGATACTATTTCTCTATTAGTAATATCAGATTTTCTTGCTTACTTGGTTTAGGTCATATTAAGAGTGCATTTTAATATCATGTATAGCACTTTCCATTGCATTAGTAGGAGTTTGCTTTATTTATTTAGGCTCTTCATAACTTTTTTAAAATAACATGTAATAGGAAGTAGTAGAGCATTGTGCAGTGAAATAACCATGAAAATGTACCCCATAATGTCACTGATACTTAATGTTTTGTTTGCTGCATAGACATGGCCTTAGAAAAGCACAAAGAAAAACCTATGGCTGGCCTGTACTCGCTGATTTGGGTTCATGGGACTTGGCTTAAGGGGATGTTTCAAGCTGGAATCTGAGTGCTGTGATCCTCCTACTATGCAAGTCCTAGAGCCAGGCTCCAGTGCAAGCACAGTATCTATGCAGCTGTGAAACAGCTCCACAACCAAAGCCCTGAGAGTTCAAGTTAGTTAGCACAGGCTAGCTGCAGGTTGGTGTGTAAACATATCCCCAAGAGGATTCCTGGCAGCTATGATGTAGATGGCCCAACCTTGCCTTGTAAATTATCATGATCAAATTCTCAGGACCCAATTCTGAAAACATGCACATTCTTAACATCAATATTCTTGTTGACTTTGATGGGACTAATCATATGCATGAAGTTACAACTGCATTAACATTAGGCATGTGAGTTAAAGTTTGCAGAAATCAGGCCTATGTTGTCTAAAAGCAGAGGGTTTTTTTTTCTTTTAGTTGTGCGAAAGCTCTCTATTTAATTATTTTTATTTGTGCTATTATATAGTAGAATTATTCTCCTAATCTAAAACTTTGCCATTATCATTGCTGATTCAGCAAGGTTTTCCTTGTTTAATTTCTGAAAGAAAACTGCAGTCATTATAAAACATTTTGTTTAGTGGCTGCTACATCTGTACTAAGAACCAGTTTTCAAAACAGGCTTCTGTGTTATGACTGCAAAATATATATATCAAAAGTAATTGCAGTGCACAAAATATGAAGCTAATTATCTGTTTGCTAAGTGTCTCTGGATATTTAAAACACATTTACTTGCAAATACATATTTTTCAGTGTCAAAATAGGCATCCATTTTTAAAAAATTAGCCCTTGCACTATAGAGCAACATATGAAATATGTTTTCCTATCAGCATTTTAGCTAATCATATTTATAGTTATTTTTATTTTATATTGCAGTAACACCCTGAAAGCTGCTAGATACAGGGACATTGTATAAAAACAAAGTTCTTTTCCTGAAAAAGTCAATAATTTAATCTAATAATGTTAACTGTTCATAAAGAAATTTCCTAGAATTGGGGACCATAAAAAGGTTCCATAATAAATATTATCAGAACTTTTTAAATTATAATGATTGTACTCCCAGCTGCAGTGCTTCCCAAACCTTCATAGTACAGTCACCTGAAAAATTCTTTGATTGTAATTAAAATGTCATTTTCCAGATTTTCTTGCCTCCTCAAACGTATAACAGCCATCAGCAGAGTCCTTTTAAAATATAGGAAGTTGCAGAGAGTAAACAAATGTACTGATGGCATAGTTTCCCAGAAATGTTTGCTTGGGTCAAAGCAGTTTTGTCTCGGACTTTGCTACTGTATACACACTACCTGCTAAACTGTGCAACTTCATGGCATATCAGAAGGAACTAGGCCGCATCCTCTTCCTGTCTTTTCCCCTAGAGAAGTTTTTAGTTTCTTATATATATATATATATGAGCAAGAGCGATTGATTGATTGTTTTTGGATTAAGATAAACTTCACCTTTTCCAAACAGCTTCTTCCTTTTTCTCTAAAAAGTTTGCTTGGGTAGGAATATTCCTTAACTGTCTACTCCAGCATTATCAGCATACAGATATTGCATTATATGAATCTTACATGATATTGCATTAGATGAATCTTTTTCTCACATTTTTAGAATGTATCACTTTTATCCACCAAAAGTGAATTTTATTTGATCTTTAGTCTGTCTTATTTTTAATTAAAAGCAAAAATCTTTAAAAGACTCCAGTCATCTGAAGAAATGGGCTGTGCCCACGAAAGCTTATGATATCATCTATATGTTTTGTTAGTCTATAAAATGCTACCAGACCATTTGTTGTTTTTTTGTAATTTATCCTGTACAGACTAACTCGGCTACCCCCTGAAGCATCCAAAAATCTTAGGTATGCATTTTAATTTTGAGAAAATGCAAACTACTTCTACAGATATTGTCATTTAATGATTATAAGCAGTTCACATTTTTAAGGTTTTTCTATTTTTTTAAATCATCAATAAAATACTAAATTTTTCATTTAACAAACAACAGTTACAAGTAAATCTTATCACAAACATGCTACACCCACACTTAGTATCATAAAAATGAATTAATGACTCTAGTCTGTCCAGCCTAACTATTAGCTCTTGCTTCTTGAAAGTTCTGGGCTTTCAATTTCTGTTTCTCAGCAGACTAAAAAAAAACGTGCCAAAAATGACACAAACTGCATAGGATTGTTTTTGTTCCATGCTTTGTTCTTGTGGACCTTGGCCAAGCATGTCAGAGGAGTTAGTTAAGACATCATCTTAAAGACTGAAACACAGTATATAGTAAAGGACAGAGGCAGCATAGTAAGGAAGACTGGAGTGGAAAAGGGAAGACATTCAGCATGCACACAGCTTTCTATATTGCCCCACATTTTGACACTGAAAAACTATCATGGCTTCTGGGCATAAAAGACACCCTATCTGGGAATATTATAAAGAAATGAATTCTTTGGGGCATGTCAAGTGTAAACAGTGCAAGAAGATTCAGCACCTAGTTGCAAGAATGAATCATAAGGAAACTACTTATTGGGAGAAAATTATGCAGATGAAGCTGTGAATAGGCTGAGTGGATCAGCTGGTTAGTAACTTACATAATTTTTAAAAACAAGTTCTGTGGCACCTTAACAACTAACAGATTTATTTGGGCATAAGCTTTTTTGTGTAAAAAAACCAATGCATCATTCTTTGAGACTCTATGCCTTTTACTATAAGTGTAATTTAACAAATAAATTCCCACGCCGTTTGCTATGTTGGATGTTGCTAGGAAAAAAAAAGTTTCTTAGCTAATCCTTACAGTTTGTTTAATTAGTTAATGAGGTTTAGTATCTCACTCAGGTACACAGCGCAGATGGCTACAGTAAGAGAAACCTAGATTTTATATTACATAATACATTCTCCTTATTTTGGAACATCATGGCCATACACCATAATGGTGATGCCACAAGTCTATTCTTCATTTTACTTCAACATAACCCAGCTTTTCCAAGGGAACCCCATTCTATACTTGCATTCTCAAAAAACAGAAATGCCAATGAGTCCAATGGGACTTACTCAAAAACAAAGTTCTGTCTTTTAGTGAATGTACCCCAAATATATACCCTGCCCCCAAATATACCCCACAGTTTTTTCTTTTTGAGTTAAAAAAATCTTGTATATCTCGCACACGAGTATAACCCACGGGTATACAAGGCTGTGCTAGGGATATATTTATGGTGTGCGGTGGTGGGGGAAAGGGAGGGATTAGCAAGCCACTCTCTGCCCAGTTCCTGCACAGCCGCCAGCCTCCAGGCGGGGGAGCACTCACTGCCCGGTTCCTGTGCAGCCAGATGAGCGCTCCCCCTCTCCCTTCCTACGCCTACGGAGGAACCGGACGGTGAGCACTCCCCCGCCCGGAGGCTGGAGGCTGCACAGGAACTGGGCGGTGTGTAAAAAAAAAAAAGGTTGTATACCCCACACCCGAGTATACCCCGCGTCGGGGGGGAGTTCGGGGTTTGTAAAAACAGTAGTCATCTGAAGAAGTGGGTTGTACCCACGAAAGCTCATGATACCGTCTACATGTTTTGTTAGTCTTTAAATCACCTTGATTTAAATCATTTAATCTTGCTCTAAAGTAAATAGTCCCTTACAATTCTCTTCATATGAGACTTTTTCCATGGCTCTGGTCCTTCTGATTACCCATATTTGAATCCAGTCTAATTCTGTTTTATCTTTTTTGACATGAGATAATCAGAATTGTCCACAGTATTCCAGTGCATTATGATCTTTTCAGCTGTGACATATACCAATCAGGGATATAAAATCCTGTTTAACTGGCTAACTGGTTAAACAATATGTTTAACTGGCTAACTTATTAAAGGGGAGCAAGTGGGGAGCTGTTGCAGCTGGGATGGAGTGGCCCCCTCACCCTGTTGGGCTGGAATGCTCCTCCTCCAGCCAAAGCAGCCCCTGACTGTAGTGGGCCAGGGTGCTCTACAGGCAGGGGCTACTCTGGTGTCACACCTGGAGCAGCCCCTTCCTGTGCCCACCACAGACAGAAGCTATGCTGGAGCAACCCCTGTCCATGACGGGCCCCATGCAGGGCTGTGCCAGCCCCACTGGTTAACCTTAACCAGTAAGGCTAGTTCTAAACTACACCCCTCTGTCAGCAGAAGGCTGTAAATTAGATGTTTTG